GGATTGGACAGCACGGACTTCAAACTTATTACAAATAACTTCATTTCTGGACATTTATGGTTTGATTTCTTTGTATGTATGGATCACTTGGGTTGTTACCAACATCTGGTGAAAATTTCATGTCATTAGCACCTCTAGTAATATATTTACTGAGAAAAATGGTGACGTGTTCAATACTTATTTTACCTGCTGTAAATGCAGGTAAATGCATTTTCTATCGTATGCTTTGAAAAATGCTTGAACATACTTTAACATTCTATGGCCCTTCTGTTTAGTCCTAAAGAAACAGAGCAAACAGTCTTCATCAAACAAGCCTGTAGGTGTTAGGATTATAGGAAACATTATAAATATTAAAATTGTGCTTGAAAAACTAAGTGTTAAAAAATCAATCCATTATCTTTTAATTGCTTTTATCTTTGAGGGTCATGGCGGTCCCTGATGCCCATATCCAACAGTCTCTGTGCAAGGGGTGGGCAGAGTTAAAATTATAAATATATTTTTTACTTATTTATTAAGATCTTGTCCCCCCATCTCCATCATCCACATCTACGTCTCTAGTGTTCACTGGCAGCCACTCCTCATCACTAAATGCATTATCAGAGGGAATTTCCTTTATTATTCTATAATTCCTTATTCTTTGCTGCACATGTGGTCTAAAACTTTGAGAAAATTATCATTTTACTAACCCAAACTGCAACTGATCTGCACAAAAATTATATAATTTTAAAACTAACTTATAGATGCAACCAAAGTGAATTGCAAGCAAAACAGTCATAATGAAAGATAATCAGCTACATGACATGTTGAAAATATAGTCAGCAATGCATGACGTGTGGTGGACACATGGTTAATCGTAATTTCCTACTCTTTTGAAATAAAAATTTTCCAAACTAAACTAATAATATTGTTACTTAGACACTCCTGCATATCAGCATTTTTTTTTTACTTCTAGGATTCTGCTACAATATTTGACAGGATATTGCAGGAATGGTCAAGTGTGTCTGGCAGCCATCTTGTATTCTGATGATGTTCACTTGTAATTACAACAACTAACCACTGAATGAACCTCAACGGAGGGGAGCAGTAGAGAGCATTCTAAGGACTGATATGTAGAAACCACTGCATTTAGGAAACAGCTGTCCACTGTAGTGACCACTATGCACCAGAGGGCTAAACAACTTAGGCCAACTTATGAAACATTTTTTGTCTAAATTGCTAATAAAAGTTACATGTTTGATGAATTTGTTAGAATTGCATTATGTACATGCCGAAAAGAAGGCTCCAGTTGATTTTTTAAATCCCATCTTCAACGTAGACGCCTTTAAAACGTTCATATGTTGGCATAATTAAGTACCTGTGACGTACATATTCTTGAAATACAAAAAGTCAAAGAAAACATCTTTATATTTAAGAAAGCTGGCATAATACATAATTTTACCCATTTTGTCACATAATTGGCATATTTTCTTTTGAACTTGGCTGAGCCAAAGTGAAACAGGAAGTGACATCAAAGGGGAACTCTTTAACAAAGAAAACTTTCTGGTCTTTGTTTATTGAAACAATATTATTTAAACTCTGTCTTTTCTTCCTCTCTTACTGATAGTGTCTCAAAATAATTTAAAGAAACATCGTTCTTCTCTACAGTCTGCGTTAGCTGTTGTAGCCGTGCTCTGTTTACGTTCAGACATTCCTCTTTGACATCACTTCCTGTTACTTCACAAGCAAATATCTCAACTACTGTTCATCTCAGCAACATGAAATTTTTTATCAGTCAATTTTCAAAAACAAATGCATTCATATGTCTTACAAAGATTTGACGTCTTAAAACTTTGAACTGTTTGAACGAGTTTTTAAAGTGTTGACACTGACATAAATCAATGTGTTGTCCAGAGTTCAGCTGTCAAAAGACTTTATTTGACTTTGTCAAGTGCAAAAGTATGAGAAGTGCTACAACTACAGAATGCAGAAGAGGTTTCAGAAAAACAAAACCAAGCAAATTCTAATGCCATTTCAGAAACAAGTGAAGTCAGCTCTGACACTAAACACAGAGGTTCCTCCTCAGCAATCAATTATGCTTTCAAACACTAAATGAAAGGAAAAGCTTTGACTGTTTTGCATCTGCTTGACCAGAAAAAAAAAAAGCAAAAACTTTGGGGTTTGCAACATCAGTGCTTGACCTGTTTGTCGCTGAGCACAAAAATCATAAAGCAGAACTTTATACATCATAAGGCCCAAATATATACAGAAATATACACAATAAAAAAGGACAAGTCTCTTTTTTTAAGGCACTGACAGGAAGTAATAAAACAGGCTGGGTACAATATTTAAAATGATTTCATGTAATGTTTTATTACAATGTGCGCAGCAAAGGAAAGATGGGACCGAAATGTTTTGAACATTTATCAGTACTTTTTACTCAATTTGTACCTAATTTTGGTTCACCTGGGTTTCTTACCAGATTTTTAGGAAAAGGTGGGTTCCCTGAGATTTGCCCACTGGGACACAGGAAGTGTGCATGTTAAGACAACAATCAGAAAAATATGAAGAAATGCTTCAACAACAACATTGGTAATACATACAGGAAGGCCTCCTTAGCATAGCAGTATGGATACATAAATATTATGCCTAACATCAGCTTCTTTAGAGAATAAAGTGCAAGTACAACATGAATGAATGTTTAAGATGCATAAATGAAGAAGAAAGCTTTGGCAACGCTGATGGTTAAATATCAGTATGAGTGAAGCTTCCTCTTTAGCTTTAAGCTTATTAATTTACCTCATTTGAAAACAATCTACATCAGAACAAAAGTGCTTGTTTATTTTAAAAACCTCGAGGAAAGATGGGATTCAGTTTAGCTTTGTTGGAAAACCTCAAACAAATATTAATCATGTTTAACCGTCTTGCTGCCCCATTTTAAAACTGACCTGTGGGTTGGTTTGACCCAAGGGCAGCAGGAGGGTTAAATAAATTCATTGATTTCTTTGATTTCTTCCATCCTCTGGTCCCATTGTTGACTTCCTACACCTTTTAATACTTATTGCTCCTCTGTTTTCTGTCTCCTGTTTCCATTTCTCAGCACCCTGAAGACGTGGCTGCTGGAACCCCAACAGCAGAACATTTGCAAAATGAAACCGTTTTCTCTTGGACCTCTGCAGGCTGAAGCATGCAGCACGTTTCCACTTACAGTGTTCTATACATGAGTATATGCTGTGTCTGCAGGAAGCTCTGGGTTCGTACATGACAAGCTAAAACTGACCAAAATATAAGATATAACTATGTAGACAACCTAAGTGAGTAATCAACTTTTTTTTTTAAATATACAAAAATACTGATTGCATTAGTCTGCTTGTAGTTCATATTTGGTGAGCACGTTTCTGTGCTCCTGTCAACAACATCACATGACCTCCAGGGTCACAGGGGGACAAACGAAGGACAAAAAGACCTTTTGGTTTCACTGAGTTTACTCAACCAGCTTATTTTGAACCTAGTGACCAGCACCAGAGAGCTGAGTTTGGGTTCTGGACAGATACGGTAACTGCAAAAAAAAAAAGTCTTATTTTCTCCAACAGCCTGCCTGATTCTTCCTTTTTTCCTGGACTTTCTCACTATGTTAAAATCTGCCCCTTTTTTTTTCCTCCTTGGTTTAGAGCGGAGCATCCGGGGTCAGGACCAGCTGTCCCTGTGCTCCTCTCGTCCTTAACCTCAAGCTTTGACTCCAACGTTCTCATGAGCTTTTTCTTTCGTTTACATCCTGTCGTCTACGTCGGGTGCACCTTGTTTTTGAGCGGTGGGGGTTTTCGTTTCCTCTTGCGTGTAGGGATGGTGGTGGTGTGAGCTGGGTGGTTGAACAGACTTGTAGAGGGGAGGGTCTCTCGGTCCCAGTCCCGGCTGAGGGTGGGAGTTTTTGCTGACGGTGCAGGTAGAGGTGCGCCGGCAGAAGGTTTGGGTGATGACTGAGGGGTAGGGGAGGGATCCGGGGCAGGTTTGGATGTTAAGAAAGGAACAGGTGTGGCGACAGGAGTGTGTCTGAGGTGGGCAGGAGAGCTTCCACATCCCTTCAGAAGTTCATTTTTATCCAACTTCCTCCCCTTCCTGCTCCCGCTTTGCTTTGCTTTTCCCACAGTTCGTTCCTTCCAGTCCTTGTCCTCCCCCATCCCCTTCAGTCTGGCCTCGTTCCTCCCCTCCTGACCGCCATCTCCCTTTTCTCTCCCTTTGTGCCTCCTCCTCCTCTGGACTCGCTCCAGTTTACTCTCAAAGTGATACACATCCTCTGTTGCCATGTTGACACGGTCCAGTTGTTGCAGCAGGGCGTCCAGGGTGGGGAGGAGCCTCCTCACTGAGGCTTCGGTCTCCGCCCTCTCCCTCCAGCCAGCACCCCCCACCACAACTGGGCCTAGGCCCATCCCCAGTCCCAGTCCGACGCTGATCCCTGGGGCTTCCGTCAGGCTGCAGGGGCTGGAGGAGGCCGGGCGCCACGAGACCTCGGAGCTCCCATCAACACTGACTGGAGTGGGCGGGGAGTCGGGACCGTCCAGAGGGGGTAGACATAGAGACCTACAGTCACTGGTGGAGGAGGACCTTGACGGGGGCAGCTCCATGCCCTCAAAACGGACTTTGTGTCGGAACTATAAAGAGAGAGATTTCACAGATGGAGCATTCAGGAACAACAGAACCCTCCATGTTTTCTCTTTTTAAACTCATGCTTTCATCCACGTCTGCATGCTCGTTTAACTGTAGCTTTACTGGAATATCTCATGAAGCAGTAAATGTATTTCAATGAAACTCTGACGTACATCTCCAGTTGATTCAAGTCAACCCCATTCAACATGGCCGCCACAGCTAATCATTAACCAATAGACATTGGGCCTGATGCAAGAACATGTTTGTATTCTTCTCCTAAATTTCTCTTACTTTTGTTCGTACAAACGGTTCATACGAACATGTCACGTCAGATTCAACAAACTCTTCTATCTTCAGGAAAAGTGTGTAAATGAGCTGCGTAAATTCCACCTGTTCTATCCAGCTGCTCGTGCACGCGAGAGGAGATTAGCATAATTACCACCCCAAAAACACCATATAAGGCTATGTTTCCTGCCTCAGATACAAGGAAGTGTTCATTCATAAGTGATATCACAAATAAAAAGAAGAACTTCACGAGATTGAAGTCCTGCTCTCAGAGATCCAGAAAAGAAAATCTGTCATTTTTAGCAGGTCAGCTGTGGGATTAAAGGAATGAAACGACGACTGCTGTTAATCTCGTGTCTCCTGTGGGTCGTTTACAGTCACAGAAATAAAAATCTAAATCATATTCATCTCTAACCCAGCTCCGGATTTCCTTTGGTCAAATATTTTTAATTTAAGTGTAAACAACTGTGTTACATAGTTTTCATTTATTCAGGAGAAGAACAGTCACGCACATAATTATAGAGTGTGATTTATTTTCAACTCGAAATATCTTCAAACTAATGAAATATAAAGTTATCAATGAAGAAAACCCGTCTGGATGACAGCAGACTGACTGCTCATAAAATGTTTGACAGGTCTGGACCACTCGTGATTTTTGTTCATATCTGAAGAAAATCTGAGAATATGAGTAAATTGGTGAATGACACAAATTCTCCTAAATCACTCGTACGCACAACTTAAAACAAATCTGTTCGTATGAACGATTCTTGCATGAGGCCCATTTTTACACCTCAGCCAGTTAAGGTAAATGTGTTGTGGTAGTAGCAGAGAGTCATCCTCAAAACATTTTCTGAGTGTTTTCACAACAGTAGTGATGGAGAATAATTTCATTTACATGGTTTGACCTAAACCTTTACAACTCTGTCCCTTCTCATCATAAAATATGATTTTACTTTAATCTACGTCATGAAAGGTGGGTGATATGCAGTCCATCAAGGAATGCCCAGGTCTTTAATTTTGATCTAATCTAATCCCATCTGCTTACCTCTTTGGTTCTACTGAGTCCCATCCACATTTTGAGCCGTCTGACAAACAGCTCCACCATCTCATAGTCTTGGAGATCCACAGCCGGGCGGTACAGCTCCGCTCGCGCCCGCCGGTAGTTCCTCAACAGCACGGAGATGAGCAGCCACGTGAAAACCATCCGGAATACAGCAAAGCTTGTGTGGAACACCAGCAAAAAGGCTGTGCTGAAGGGGCCGGTCATCGTCACAGCAGGATGCCATGAAAACAGGCCTCTACCTCCGGTACCCAACAAAGAGCCACAGGCAGAGGTCACACTGCTGTAACCGTCCAGCACCGAGTGGAAAAGCTGCAGAGGGAAAATACAAAAAAGGTTTACTTTACTCAGCTTTAAGAGAATAAGAAACCAACAGGACTTCACCCAGTTAAAAACTGCTTCAGTCTGGGTTGGTTACTTTTATCTTAAAGTGTCTGTGACACGCCGATTCTTCAAATACAAAAAGTCTAAGAAAACATCTTTGTACTTTAAGGGTCAATATCATGTAAAATCAACCTTTTTGAGTTTTATATCATGTTATAATGTTATACTCTCATAAAAACATGCCCAAAGCCTTGCTCTGACTCACTCATGCATGTTTGAGAAATCCTGCAGTGTTTTTAGGAAGCCATGCTGAGGAGCAAAACGACAGCTGGGCACCAGAAATGACTTTTGGTAACAGAAACACCCCTGGGACGTGTCTTTAAGCCGAACTTCCTCATGGCCGAGCGCCCCCCTCCCCACACAACCCGCTCATGACTCCTACAGGCTCTCGGGTCAAAGTGAAAGTGAAACCTAACTGTTTACTGAGCTCTCAACATTAGTTCTCACTCAGTGAAGCTCTTTTCAGATTAAAATACCTTTGAGGAAATGTATTTTTAGATGCCAAGTAAACTGCATCATAGCAGCCCCTCCTCCCCCAGCGAGCGTGACCGCCCCCCAACACACACACCGAAATGGGCGAGACAGAAGCAGAAGGTGGTTCTTAAAGAGACAGAGGCCAATTTCAAGGCGTTTAAAAGTGGAAGTGATGAGAAGATAAGTTTATTTTCTATTTAAACATAAAAACAGCATTTTAATAACTAAAGTTGACACAGATACTTTATTATGGTATAGTATTTAAATATATGCCTGAGAAACACATAATATTGGCCCTTTAAGAAAATTAATTGGCATAATACACAATTTTACCCATTTTGTCACCTAAATGGCCTATTTTCTATTGAATTTGGTTCAGCCAGAGTGAAACAGGAAGTGACATCAAAGGGGAACTCTAATAAAATAAAATGTATGGTCTTTGTTTATTAAAACAAAATTATTAAACTTTAACTGTTCATCTCTCTTTGATAGAGACTCAAAATAATGTAAAGAAACATCAGATTCTACAGTCTGTGTTGTTAGCTGTTGTAACAGTGCTGTTCACATGCAGGCATTCCCCTTTGACATCACTTCCTGTTTATTCACAGGCAAATATCTCAACAACTGTTCATCTTAGCAGCATAAAATTTGTTTTGCAATATGTTAACAGTGTTATCTTTCCAAAACTGCATTCATATTTTTACAAAAAATTGATGTCACAGACACTTTAAGGCAGCAACAAAAAAAATCTTTGATAATGAAGATACTAAATGTGTGAGAATCAGAAAAACAGGAAGTCAGGTCAAGTAAACTGAAATGATGAACGTCTGATCAGGTGGAACAGTTATGTACTTTATCTTAAAGTTTAAAATAGGTTTATAATATTTTGCAATAATGTTTAGGGTGGACTTATTTTAAGTCTTATATCCTGCTACAGAGCTAGTTTACTGCACCAATAGAACCAAGGATCAGTTCTGAGCTCTGAAGAACGGAGTGGGGTGTTTATGTTCCAGCCACAGACAACACCTGGGGTCCAGGCAGACCCACTTTCCTCTCAGAGTTAAAACGAGTCTGTCGTTTTAATCTCAGAGAGAACCAATAAGAAGGCAGCAAAATGTAAAGAATTTAAGAAACATCATACATTATAAATGTAAATAAAGTCTAATTATGATAAATTAATAAATTTGCATCTAAAAATCACATTTTATTTAAAGTTATTTATTTAAAGTATGCCACTTTTAATGTAAAGATGAAGTCCTTGTTACTTTTACATCCTGGGAACAAACACAGTTTCGCCTCAATAAATCCACCTAAATAAAGTTAATTTTGGAAAGTTATAAGGGGAAGGCCTTAACACAGGGGTGTCAAACTCCAGTCCTCGAAGGCCACTATCCTGCATGTTTTAGAGGTTTTCCAGCTCCAACACACCTGATTCAGTGATTGAATTAACTCTTCAAATTGGGCAGAAGCCTGTTAATCACCCAGCGATCAAAATCAGGTGTGTTGGAGCAAGAAAACCTCTAAAACATGCAGGATAGTGGCCCTCGAGGACAGGAGTTTGACACCCCTGCCTTAACAGAACCATCAAAAGTGCAACAACAAATGTTAGGATGTTCATTAAATTTAGTTTTAGCAACTAGAATCATCTTTACGATGAAATTATGTTAAAACGTACTCATTCATGGTGATATATTTGGCTTAATCTGAACGCTTATCAGTATGCATTGCCAATGCAATGCACACTACTGTGATTCGTTTCCCATCCAAGTCATCTCAACTTTGCCATGCTTCTCCTCCTGCGTACTTTGTCCTACAGCTGCCATTGTAATTTCTATCTGTAAAGGTCCTGTGCCAAATGATTGCTATGCCTTTTGGTACCTGTACAACTTGTAGTTTTTGAAATATTAATGTTTAAACTTTATTCCAAATTCATGTAATTGGAGTCAATGGGGCCTTGTAATGGTCCAATACTGCCCCCAGCTGTACTCAACTTGGTACTGCACCATAGTTTTTTATATTTAATCTCAATAGTTCAGTGTTTACAATACTAATATGATTGTATTTTGATGTTTTACCATAATATTGTCTTAATATTGCTCTATTGTTGTAATATTATGCAGTTTAGTGTCAATAATTACATTGGCAATGTGGCCTCTTTCTGCACACATACAAACCAACCACCACATTTTCCCACAGCTCCATTGGTCTAACGGTCTATGTCATGGACTTTCATGTGGGAGCATCAGGGTTCAAAACCCAGCTAAAGCAACTTAAATAAAATATATCTTCCAACTTCATATTGTCACTCAGTTACCTTAATTACAAACACCTGCTGACGTGACAGGCACAAGCTGGTATAGAAAACACATTTGAACTTGGTCAAAGTTCATTCTGCAAGTCCAATGCTGCAGGCAAAGCCATGCTGCAATGACATGCTACATGGCAATGCGCACTTGTTTTTACATCGTAAAAACCCATGTCTAGTTTGAAGGTTTGAGTTAAATGTTTGGAAGCAAATTCAAAAAAGCAAGGCTGCTTTTACAGTCCCAACAGTGAAGGTGAGTCTGTGCTGAAAAAGTTCCTGTCATTGTGAAGCTTAGGGATTCTTTGTATACCAATAACTGACATTTTTTGTAAACAAAACTAGATCGTTGCCAGGTAAATCACCAAATTTAACAAAAAATAATAAAATTTTTGAAAAATTCTTCATTGTGACTCAATTTGCCTGTTGTGTTTGTGTGAGCGAGGTGAGGTTCTGTAAGAAGAAGGTATAAAAGACCACGGGGGAACTCTGACCAGGTGTCCTGTGTGAGCGTAAAGCAGCAGCAGCAGCAGAAGGGCCAGGCCCACTCCCAGGAGCTCCCAGACGGACCGCCGCAGAGCTCTGCCAAACACAGCCCCCTCTCGCAGGAACCGCAACTGGTGGGACGCCTGCACCGTCCAGGAGGAGCAGCAGAGAGCAGAAAAATGACTAAATAAATTAATACTATATACCAAAGCTTCACTAACGCTACAGTTAAACTAGCATGCTAATTAATACCAAGGAAAACTTCAGATTTTCTTTTTTACAAATTAATTATCTCTGGATGTAATTTATAATTACAGTGTTGACAAAGAAATTTCAGAACCAGTGGGAGGGATTTTACTGCTGTTGAAAAAAAATACCCCGAACCACAAAATGATTGAAGTCTAAAATTAATCATATAAATAAATAGGACAATTTATCAGTAGCTTTGTCTGTTGTCACTTAAAAATTAACTGTGTGTTTTAACATGATTTACTGTTTTATATTTAGACATTTGATAAATTCTGGGAACAATTTGTGTACATATCAGATCAGACAAAGCAACAATTGTTTTGTTGGCTGAACAAACAAACAAACAAACAAACAAACAAACAAACAAACAAACAAACAAACAAACAAACAAACAAACAAACAAACAAACAAACAAACAAACAAACAAACAAACAAAACTCTCCAGGACAGGAAAATTATTCTTGTGCAAAATATAGTTTTCTAATTTCGTAATGTGACATGTTGATTTATTTTTTTATATATAGAATTTAGAAAAAACCAAATGTTGCTGAGTCAGCTTTTTGCTTAGATTTTTTTGCAATCAAACTACATCGACTTACTTTCTGCTATTTTAACCTTTTTCTTATCAAAGTACTCAGCTCATTCAGGAGACAGGTGCTCTGACTTGGTTTTTGTCTCTTATACTGTTCAAAACATTTAACTTTGTCTTTTTTTATAAAAACACATTGAAATCTTTTCTATTACTTCAAAGATTTTTTGGTTTTAATTTGCCCTAGCATACTTGGTCTATTTTTGTCTTCCAATCTACTTTTGGCTTTTAGTCATTAGTTTTCCAGTTTTTATCTTTTAGCTACTTTAAGCCCATGTTTTGCTAATTTTATCATTAAAATGCTACTTTGTTGAATTTAGCTTTTACCTTCTGTTTTGTTAATTTTACTGCTTAGCTTTGTTTAATAATTTAATTTGAGCTTATTTCACTACAGTCATTTAGCTCTATCAACCCTGCAGTTTTCTATGATGATGGGACTGAAGGTTCTGATGAGCCAGGTGTGATGCTTCTCTCTTACCTTGAGCAGCAGGATGAAGAGAAGCAGAGCAGACATGGCGGTGTACAGCTGGCTCTGCTTGGCCAGGGGCTGGAAGTCCGTGAAGGAGTCTCGTGGGTTCTTCAGGAACAGATTCCACTGCTGCTTGGCCATGACTGAGCGGCTCAGGTGTAGCCCGCACACAGACGCCGCCAGACACAACTTACAGATTCCCATGAGTCGCCACGCCGTCAGCAGGTACCTGAAGCCCCCTCTGAGGAAACCCAGGACCCCTCGGACCAGGAAATACACCACCAGGCTGAGGAGGACGAGCTGAGAAACAGGGAACCGCCAACATTCAAGAACACTGAAACAAGTTTAGATCTTCCTGAAGGTGTCAGGGCTCAGAGGTTACCGTCAGCAGGAGCTGCAGGTCGAGGCCTGTGATTGGCCACAGAGTCAGGACGTTAAGCTCAAAGCTGCACTGAGCACGCTCAGAAACTGGGAACTCAAACAAGAAGGAGACGACAGCCAGCAGGTTTGTGTTGATGTTGTAGAGGGAGAACTCCACCAACACTGCACGAGTTCTGTGAACACAAACTCCCTCCATCAGGATCCTTTATAACATTTTACATTTATAATCACACTTACAACCAGCATCAGGGCTTTTATCAACAACAAGAGAAATTACATTTCCTGTGAGAAAGCAGTGGGAATGCTTATTGATGAATAATTTAGCTGAAAGCTGCTGAAGAAGCTGAAATATTTTTTAACGCTGAACTTTTATTGCTTGCTGAATTTTAACGGCTGAGGTGGAACCATAAATTAGCTGAATGATTGCTGAATTTAGCCAAGGAACCCAAACTGTGAAAACAAAAGGTTCAAGGGCCAGAGAACAGCTGGAAAGTGCAGAATTAAATAAAATTCAATTTAAAAACACTTCACTGATCCCAGAGGAAAATTAGATAGATTAGAAATGTGCAGATAAAAGTAAAAGTGTAAAAATATAGCTGAAAAAAGCAGAAAAAGCTTAAGAGGAAGGAAAAGGAAAAGTAGCCGACAAAGAAGTTGAAATCAGAAGAAGAACAGAAGAAAAGGTCAGAATCAAAGCTGAACAGACGGGCAGGTTCCTCTGGTGAGCTCCATGGGTTTTTAAGTCTGCACTGAAGATCTGCTCTTCACTGGAGCAACACCTACTTTCTGGTACAGCGGGTAAAATAAGTATTGAACACGTCACCATTTTTCTCAGTAAATATATTACTAGAGGTGCTAATGACATGAAATTTTCACCAGATGTTGGT